AGGCAGAGCGGCAGAGCGGCAGAGAGCAGAGAGGCAGAGAAGCAGAGAGGCAGAGAGGAGAGAGGCAGAGAGGCATAGAGGCAGAGAGGCAGAGAGGCAGGGAGCAGAGAGGCAGAGAGGCAGGGACGCAGGGAGGCAGGGAGGCAGAGAGGCAAAGAGGCAGAGAGGCAGAGAGGCAGAGAGGCAGAGAGGCAGAGAGGCAGAGAGCCAGAGATTCAGAGAGGCAGAGAGGCAGAGAGGCAGAGCGGCAGAGCGGCAGAGAGGCAGAGAGGCAGAAGGCAGAGAGGCAGAGGAGGCAGAGAGGCAGAGAGCCAAAGATGCAGAGAGGCAGAGAGGCAGAGAGGCAGAGAGGCAGAGAGGCAGGGAGGCAGAGAGGCAGAGAGGCAGGGACGCAGGGAGGCAGGGAGGCAGAGAGGCAAAGAGGCAGAGAGGCAGAGAGGCAGAGACGCAGAGAGGCAAAGAGGCAGAGAGGCAGAGAGGCAGAGAGGCAGAGAGGCAGAGAGGCAGAGAGGCAGAGAGGCAGAGCGGCAGAGCGGCAGAGCGGCAGAGAGGCAGAGCGGCAGAGCGGCAGAGAGGCAGAGAGGCAGAGAGGCACCGAGGCAGAGAGGCAGAGAGGCAGAGAGGCAGAGAGGCAGAGAGGCAGAGAGGCAGAGAGGCAGAGAGGCAGAGAGGCAGAGAGCCAGACCGGCAGGGAGGCAGAGAGGCAGAGAGGCAGAGAGGAAGAGAGGAAGAGAGGAAGAGAGGAAGAGAGGCAGAGAGGCAGAGAGGAAGAGAGGAGAAGAGGCAGAGAGGCAGAGAGGCAGAGAGGCAGAGAGGCAGAGAGGTGGAGAGCCACAGCGGCAGAGCGGCAGAGCGGCAGAGAGGCAGAGCGGCAGAGCGGCAGAGAGGCAGAGAGGCAGAGAGGCAGAGAGGCAGAGAGGCAGAGAGGCAGAGCGGCAGAGCGGCAGAGAGGCAGAGAGGCAGAGAAGCAGAGAGGCAGAGAGGCAGAGAGGCAGAGAGGCAGAGAGGCAGAGAGGCAGAGAGGCAGAGAGGCAGAGAGTTAGAGAGGCAGAGAGGCAGAGAGGGAGAGAGGCAGAGAGGCAGAGAGGCAGAGAGGCAGAGAGGCAGGGAGGCAGGGAGGCAAGGAGGCAGAGAGGCAGAGGGGTTGAGAGGCAGAGAGGCAGAGAGTCAGAGAGGCAGAGAGGCAGAGAGGCAGAGAGGCAGAGAGGCAGAGAGGCAGAGAGGCAGAGAGGCAGAGCGGCAGAGCTGCGGAGAGGCAGAGAGGCAGAGAGGCAGAGAGGCAGAGAGGCAGAGAGGCAGAGAGGCAGAGAGCAGAGAGGCAGAGAGGCAGGGAGGCAGGGAGGCAGGGAGGCAGGGAGGCAGGGAGGCAGAGAGGCAGAGAGGCAGAGAGGCAGAGAGGCAGAGCGGCAGGCGGCAGAGAGGCAGAGAGGCAGAGAGGCAGAGAGGCAGAGAGGCAGAGAGGCAGAGCGACAGGGAGGCAAAGAGGCAGAGAGGCAGAGAGGAAGAGAGGAAGAGAGGAAGAGAGGCAGAGAGGCAGAGAGGCAGAGAGGCAGAGAGGCAGAGCGGCAGAGAGGCAGAGAGGCAGAGAGGCAGAGAGGCAGAGAGGCAGAGCGGCAGGGAGGCAGAGAGGCAGAGAGGCAGAGAGGCAGAGGCAGAGAGGTAGAGAGGCAGAGAGGCAGAGAGGCAGAGAGGCAGAGCGGCAGAGAGGCAGAGAGGCAGAGAGGCAGACAGGCAGAGCGGCAGAGCGGCAGAGAGGCAGAGCGGCAGAGCGGCAGAGAGGCAGAGAGGCAGAGAAGCAGGGAGGCAGAGAGGCAGAGAGGCAGAGCGGCAGAGCAGCAGAGAGGCAGAGAGGCAGAGAGGCAGAGAGGCAGAGAGGCAGAGCGGCAGGGAGGCAAAGAGGCAGAGAGGCAGAGAGGAAGAGAGGAAGAGAGGAAGAGAGGCAGAGAGGCAGAGAGGCAGAGAGGCAGAGCGGCAGAGCGGCAGAGAGGCAGAGAGGCAGAGAGGCAGAGAGGCAGAGAGGCAGAGAGGCAGAGAGGCAGAGAGGCAGAGAGGCAGAGAGGCAGAGAGGCAGAGAGGCAGAGAGGCAGAGAGGCAGAGAGGCAGAGAGGCAGAGAGGCAGAGAGGCAGAGAGGCAGAGAGGCAGAGAAGCAGGGAGGCAGAGAGGAAAGAGAGGAAGAGAGGAAGAGAGGCAGAGAGGCAGAGAGGCAGAGAGGCAGAGAGGCAGAGAGGCAGAGAGGCAGAGAGGCAGAGAGGCAGAGAGGCAGAGAGGAAGAGAGGAAGAAGGCAGAGAGGCAGAGAGGCAGAGAGGCAGAGAGGCAGAGAGGCAGACAGGCAGGGAGGCAGAGAGGCAGGGAGGCAGAGAGGCAGAGAGGCAGAGAGGCAGAGAGGAAGATAGGAAGTGAGGAAGAGAGGCAGAGAGGAAGAGAGGAGAAGAGGCAGAGAGGCAGAGAGGCAGAGAGGCAGAGAGGCAGAGACGCAGAGAGGCAGAGAGGCAGTGAGGCAGAGAGGCAGAGAGCAGAAAGGCAGGGAGGCAGAGAGGAAGAGAGGAAGAGAGGAAGAGAGGCAGAGAGGCAGAGAGGCTGAGAGGCAGAGAGGCAGAGAGGCAGAGAGGCAGAGAGGCAGAGAGGCAGAGAGGCAGAGAGGAAGAGAGGAAGAGAGGCAGAGAGGCAGAGAGGCAGAGAGGCAGAGAGGCAGAGAGGCAGACAGGCAGGGAGGCAGAGAGGCAGGGAGGCAGAGAGGCAGAGAGGCAGTGAGGAAGAGAGGAAGAGAGGAAGAGAGGCAGAGAGGCAGAGAGACAGAGAGGAAGAGAGGAGAAGAGGCAGAGAGGCAGAGAGGCAGAGAGGCAGAGAGGCAGAGAGGCAGGGAGGCAGAGAGGAAGAGAGGAAGAGAGGAAGAGAGGCAGAGAAGCAAAGAGGCAGGGAGGCAGAGTGGCAGAGAGGCAGAGAGGCAGAGAGGCAGAGAGGCAGAGAGGCAGAGAGGCAGAGAGGTAGAGAGGCAGAGAGGCAGAGAGGCAGAGAGGCAGAGAGGCAGAGAGGCAGAGAGGCAGAGAGGCAGAGAGGCAGAGAGGCAGAGAGGCAGAGAGGCAGAGAGGCAGAGAGGCAGAGAGGCAGAGAGGCAGAGAGGCAAAGAGGCAGAGAGGCAGAGAGGCAGAGAGGCAGAGAGGCAGAGAGGCAGAGAGGCAGAGAGGCAGAGCGGCAGAGCGGCAGAGAGGCAGAGAGGAAGAGAGGAAAGAGAGGCAGAGAGGTAGAGAGGCAGAGAGCAGAGAGGCAGAGAGGCAGAGAGGCCAGAGAGGCAGAGCGGCAGGGAGGTAGGGAGGCAAGGAGGCAGAGAGGCAGAGAGGTTGGGAGCAGAGAGGCAGAGAGTCAGAGAGGCAGAGAGGCAGAGAGGCAGAGAGGCAGAGAGGCAGAGAGGCAGAGAGGCAGAGAGGCAGAGAGGCAGAGAGGCAGAGCGGCAGAGCTGCGGAGAGGCAGAGAGGCAGAGAGGCAGAGAGGCAGAGAGGCAGAGAGGCAGAGAGGCAGAGAGGCAGAGAGGCAGAGAGGCAGGGAGGCAAAGAGGCAGGGAGGCAGGGAGGCAGAGAGGCAGAGAGGCAGAGCGGCAGAGAGGCAGAGCGGCAGAGCGGCAGAGAGGCAGAGAGGCAGAGAGGCAGAGAGGCAGAGAGGCAGAGAGGGAGAGCGGCAGGGAGGCAAAGAGGCAGAGAGGCAGAGAGGAAGAGAGGAAGAGAGGAAGAGAGGCAGAGAGGCAGAGAGGCAGAGAGGCAGAGAGGCAGAGCGGCAGAGAGGCAGAGAGGCAGAGAGGCAGAGAGGCAGAGAGGCAGAGCGGCAGGGAGGCAGAGAGGCAGAGAGGCAGAGAGGCAGAGGCAGAGAGGTAGAGAGGCAGAGAGGCAGAGAGGCAGAGAGGCAGAGCGGCAGAGTTGCAGAGCGGCAGAGAGCCAGAGCGGCAGAGCAGCAGAGAGGAAGAGAGGAAGAGAGGAAGAGAGGCAGAGAGGTACAGAGGAAGAGAGGAGAAGAGGCTGAGAGGCAGAGAGGCAGAGAGGCAGAGAGGCAGAGAGGTAGAGAGCCACAGTGGCAGAGCGGCAGAGCGGCAGAGAGGCAGAGCGGCAGAGCGGCAGAGAGGCAGAGAGGCAGAGAAGCAGGGAGGTAGAGAGGCAGAGAGGCAGAGAGGCAGAGAGGCAGAGCGGCAGGGAGGCAAAGAGGCAGAGAGGCAGAGAGGAAGAGAGGAAGAGAGGAAGAGAGGCAGAGAGGCAGAGAGGCAGAGCGGCAGAGCGGCAGAGCGGCAGGGAGGCAGAGAGGCAGAGAGGCAGAGAGGCAGAGGCAGAGAGGTAGAGAGGCAGAGAGGCAGAGAGGCAGAGAGGCAGAGCGGCAGAGTTGCAGAGCGGCAGAGAGGCAGAGCGGCAGAGCGGCAGAGAGGCAGAGAGGCAGAGAAGCAGGGAGGCAGAGAGGCAGAGAGGCAGAGCGGCAGAGCAGCAGAGAGCAGAGAGGCAGAGAGGCAGAGAGGCAGAGAGGCAGAGAGGCAGAGCGGCAGGGAGGCAAAGAGGCAGAGAGGCAGAGAGGAAGAGAGGAAGACAGGAAGAGAGGCAGAGAGGCAGAGAGGCAGAGAGGCAGAGCGGCAGAGCGGCAGAGAGGCAGAGAGGCAGAGAGGCAGAGAGCAGAGCGGCAGGGAGGCAGGGAGGCACAGAGGCAGAGAGGAAGAGAGGAAGAGAGGAAGAGAGGCAGAGAGGAGAAGAGCAGAGAGGCAGAGAGGCAGAGAGGCAGAGAGGCAGAGAGGCAGAGAGGCAGAAAGGCAGGGAGGCAGAGAGGAAGAGAGGAAGAGAGGAAGAGAGGCAGAGAGGCAGGGAGGCTGAGAGGCAGAGAGGCAGAGAGGCAGAGAGGCAGAGGGGCAGAGAGGCAGAGAGGCAGAGAGGAAGAGAGGAAGAGAGGCAGAGAGGCAGAGAGGCAGAGAGGCAGAGAGGCAGAGAGGCAGAGAGGCAGTGAGGAAGAGAGGAAGAGAGGAAGAGAGGCAGAGAGGCAGAGAGACAGAGAGGAAGAGAGGAGAAGAGGCAGAGAGGCAGAGAGGCAGAGAGGCAGAGAGGGAGAGAGGCAGAGAGGCAGGGAGGCAGAGAGGAAGAGAGGAAGAGAGGAAGAGAGGCAGAGAAGCAGAGAGGCAGAGAGTCAGAGTGGCAGAGAGGCAGAGAGGCAGAGAGGCAGAGAGGCAGAGAGGCAGAGAGGCAGAGAGGCAGAGAGGCAGAGAGGCAGAGAGGCAGAGAGGCAGAGAGGCAGAGAGGCAGAGAGGCAGAGAGGCAGAGAGGCAGAGAGGCAGAGAGGCAGAGAGGCAGAGAGGCATGGAGACAGAGAGGAAGAGAGGAAGAGAGGCAGAGAGGCAGAGAGGCAGAGAGGCAGAGAGGCAGAGAGGCAGAGAGGCAGAGAGGCAGAGAGGAAGAGAGGAAGAGAGGCAGAGAGGCAGAGAGGCAGAGAGGCAGAGAGGCAGAGAGGCAGAGAGGCAGAGAGGCAGAGCGGCAGGGAGGCAGAGAGGCAGAGAGGCAGAGAGGAAGAGAGGAAGAGAGGAAGAGAGGAAGAGAGGCAGAGAGGCAGAGAGGAAGAGAGGAGAAGAGGCTGAGAGGCAGAGAGGCAGAGAGGCAGAGAGGCAGAGAGGTAGAGAGCCACAGCGGCAGAGCGGCAGAGCGGCAGAGAGGCAGAGCGGCAGAGCGGCAGAGAGGCAGAGAGGCAGAGAGGCAGAGAGGCAGAGAGGCAGAGAGGAAGAGCGGCAGAGCGGCAGAGAGGCAGAGAGGCAGAGAAGCAGAGAGGCAGAGAGGCAGAGAGGCAGAGAGGCAGAGAGGCAGAGAGGCAGAGAGGCAGAGAGGCAGAGAGGCAGAGAGGCAGAGAGGCAGAGAGGCAGAGAGGGAGAGAGGCAGAGAGGCAGAGAGGCAGAGAGGCAGAGAGGCAGGGAGGCAGGGAGGCAAGGAGGCAGAGAGGCAGAGAGGTTGGGAGGCAGAGAGGCAGAGAGTCAGAGAGGCAGAGAGGCAGAGAGGCAGAGAGGCAGGAGCAGAGAGGCAGAGAGGCAGAGAGGCAGAGAGGCAGAGAGGCAGAGAGGCAGAGAGCAGAGAGCAGGGAGGCAGGGAGGCAGGGAGGCAGGGAGGCAGAGAGGCAGAGAGGCAGAGAGGCAGAGAGGCAGAGCGGCAGAGCGGCAGAGAGGCAGAGAGGCAGAGAGGCAGAGAGGCAGAGAGGCAGAGAGGCAGAGCGGCAGGAGGCAAAGAGGCAGAGAGGCAGAGAGGAAGAGAGGAAGAGAGGAAGAGAGGCAGAGAGGCAGAGAGGCAGAGAGGCAGAGAGGCAGAGCGGCAGAGAGGCAGAGAGGCAGAGAGGCAGAGAGGCAGAGAGGCAGAGCGGCAGGGAGGCAGAGAGGCAGAGAGGCAGAGAGGCAGAGGCAGAGAGGTAGAGAGGCAGAGAGGCAGAGAGGCAGAGAGGCAGAGCGGCAGAGTTGCAGAGCGGCAGAGAGCCAGAGCGGCAGAGCAGCAGAGAGGAAGAGAGGAAGAGAGGAAGAGAGGCAGAGAGGTACAGAGGAAGAGAGGAGAAGAGGCAGAGAGGCAGAGAGGCAGAGAGGCAGAGAGGTAGAGAGCCACAGCGGCAGAGCGGCAGAGCGGCAGAGAGGCAGAGCGGCAGAGCGGCAGAGAGGCAGAGAGGCAGAGAAGCAGGGAGGCAGAGAGGCAGAGAGGCAGAGAGGCAGAGAGGCAGAGCGGCAGGAGGCAAAGAGGCAGAGAGGCAGAGAGGAAGAGAGGAAGAGAGGAAGAGAGGCAGAGAGGCAGAGAGGCAGAGAGGCAGAGCGGCAGAGCGGCAGAGAGGCAGAGAGGCAGAGAGGCAGAGAGGCAGAGAGGCAGAGCGGCAGGGAGCAGGAGGCACAGAGGCAGAGAGGAAGAGAGGAAGAGAGGAAGAGAGGCAGAGAGGAGAGAGGCAGAGAGGCAGAGAGGCAGAGAGGCAGAGAGCAGAGAGGCAGAGAGGCAGAGAGGCAGAGAGCCAGAGAGGCAGAGAGTTAGAGAGGCAGAGAGGCAGAGAGGCAGAGCGCAGAGCGCAGAGAGGCAGAGAGGCAGAGAGGCAGAGAGAGGTAGAGAGGCAGAGAGCCAGAGATGCAGAGAGCAGAGAGGCAGAGAGGCAGAGAGGCAGAGAGGCAGAGAGGCATAGAGGCAGGGACGCAGGGAGGCAGGGAGGCAGAGAGGCAGAGAGGCAGAGAGGCAGAGAGGCAGAGAGGCAGAGAGGCAAAGAGGCAGAGAGCAGAGAGGCAGAGAGGCAGAGAGGCAGAGCGGCAGAGCGGCAGAGCGGCAGAGCGGCAGAGAGGCAGAGAGGCAGAGAGGCAGGAAGGCAGGGAGGCAGGGAGGCAGAGAGGCAGAGAGTTAGAGAGGCAGAGAGGCAGAGCGGCAGAGAGGCAGAGAGGCAGAGAGGCAGAGAGGCAGAGAGGCAGGGAGGCAGAGAGGCAGAGAGGCAGAGAGGCAGAGAGGCAGAGAGGCAGAGCGGCAGAGCGGCAGAGAGGCAGAGAGGCAGAGAAGCAGAGAGGCAGAGAGGCAGAGAGGCAGAGAGGCAGAGAGGCAGAGAGGCAGAGAGGCAGAGAGGCAGAGAGGCAGAGAGGCAGAGAGGCAGAGAGGCAGA